GTTGCAGCAGGGAGATTCCTCCTCTGGCTGCTCCAACCTCCCCCCCCACCCACCCACAGAATACCATCAGATGCCGTTGCAAAGGTGGTGTGGATCACCACCCCATGGATTGAATTTTCCATATCCTGCCAGGGGACAAATGATGATTGTGCCCCAGAAGTAGCCTCTGCAGAGGTATGCGTTGCACCAAGAGCATAGGTCAGACTGCTGGTGGAAACAACTCACACCCACAAAGGATCCTGGGCACCGCAGTGCCCCTCTTCTCCACTGGCGAGATTCAGCCAGTCCTGTGCAAGCAATCCCACCCTTAAAATAAAGAAGAGTAGAATGAGATGCCCAAATCAAACTCATCTGCTTTGGTGTCCAGTTTCTGTGATCTCATCCAGCTCGAACCAGACACAAAAGCAGAGGCTATCGGAAAAGATGCTCCCATCTCATTCTGCAATGGTTAAAAAAAGCAAAACTCAACCCACCCACCCACACCCACCCAAGGCCGTCTCTACTAAGTCCAGGGGGTCCTGGAAAGACCCCACCGATGTTTTCATCAAGGCCCTGTTTTGCCCCACCATCGAGTCACCCGAGGAGCAAAAAAGGGCCTCAACGTTTGGTCTCTCAAAATTTCTCCAGAAGCGGCTGGAGCAGTTGAGGAACTGCTGGCAACCGCTCTGTGCATAAGACATCCAATTTCTCAGGCTCCGGTTTCACATGAAGGGGTTAAAAGAAAAAAAAAAGTCTGGAGCATCTTTCCTTTCCGAGTCCCTCGTCACCACGGAGAGACAAGGAGCCGTTTTCAGGTGGCTTCCTGACCCAAACAAGCCACCCCAAAACGGCGGTCAGAGGTCGAGGCCGCTCCTCTGCTAGGCGGCCACAGGTGAAGTAATACTTTCCCTTGTAAAAAGGCTGGGCTTCAAGAGTGACAAGAGGAGCGCGGCCCGGCTGGACAGAGTGGCCGCCTCAACTCACCGCACCAAATCAATTTCAAGATTGCCGCACACGTTTTGCCTCTGCTCTCCCCTCCTCTGGGAACAGCTGCTGCAGAAGAGCAAGGGTTCTGCTTTGGGTCTCAAGTGCCCCCTCCCTCCCCCTCCCCAGGCTGTCCCACCCCCCAAGGACTTGCTCCTCTGATGCAGCCTCCTCTGAATTCCCAGCAGAAGAGCTTCCTGCTAATACAATTTTTGCTACGGTTACTTAGACACAACATGTTCCAAAGGGTTGTCAGGAGGCACCTGGCTCTAGGCACAGTTCTCCGAGGTCAGGGCTGGAAAAAGTTGGTGCTCTCGGTCAGAACTGCTTAGCTTGTCAGGGCAAGGAGGAGGGAGGGGGTGGGCTCCGACTATCCTTGCCCTGGTGCCTCCTGGCATCCTGCTGCTGGCAGGCCGACAGGGAATTCGTTAGACGTCTACAGGTCGAGTAGTCTCTCTCTTTCTGCCTGCACATCAGGCCAAACATCAAGCACATTGGGAGGGGCACACTTTAAAGCAACACTACTGGAATGGAAGCACAGACGCACACCCCAAGGGAGGGGGGAGAGCAGAGGGCTCGCCTTTCCTGCTCTAGAATCTCTCATCGGACAGGCTTCAAACAGAAGCGCCACAAGCTGGCAGGAGGTTCTAATGCCAGAAGCACAACCAGGACTTTTGCCTCATTGGATTCGCTTTTGCTTCTGCCTTGCTTTGAGACAGCGGAGGTAACTGGGTCTCCTCTAACCCCGTAAGACAAATCCGGCTTCCCTGGAGGGTATTTTCCCCACCCCCTTTCGGGTGGGGTGGGGTGAAGAGGACCTTGCCCGACACCCAGATCTCTTCCAAATATCGCAACCCCTAAAGCAAGCCAGACCTACCGAGAGGCCTGGAGTCAACAGTGCTTGGCATCGAGTAGCGTTGCAGAAAACTGAGCCCCTCTCACCTTTAGCTGCTGTCAAGTTCTATCTATAATCCCTTTAACGCCAGCAAGCCTCATCCAAACAAAGAAAAAAGAAAGTTATATGAACCCTTAACAGAAAAAACACATATTTACAGAGTTTATACAAGTATACACATCCAATTTTCTTCAGAACACGTAAGAGAGGAAAAACCATCATGGCTTGGAGACAGCAAGTGCTGTGCCCCCCAAGGGAGACTCGTGGAGGGCAGTCTGTAGTGTTCTGCCAGAGCCCCGGGGGCGTTTTGGGGGGGCTCCTGCTGCAGATTGGTTGGCAAGTGGCTCTTTCCTCTCAGAGTGTGGAGGTTTCCCTCAATTAACCCAGGCGATCCAGGTTATTTTGCTTAAATACACATATTTACAGAGTGGGTGAACAGCAACTGCATCTCAATTCCTCCATGAAAAGAAAGTTAACCAAACAAAACTGACAAGGGCCGCCTTCCAGCACTGGAAGGGGAAGGAAACAGAGGTGGGGAAAGAGACTTTGACCTGAACCAAAACGACTCCTTGGGCTGTATCCAAAAGGGATTTTCTGAATGGTCTCATAGCATAAGGCACTTTGCACAAATAAGTAACAAGCTCTTTAGCTCAAAAGACAGATGAGGAGCCAGGGAGAAGTTGAAATGTACTGAGTCGGGCAGCTGTGGGTGAATTTGAAATTGCAGTCAAGGTGGAGTTTGGGAATCTTCTCATTTCAGAGTTCTTCTACTCCATCACAAAGAAAGAAATTAAAACCAGCAGTTAGTGCAACTAATGTTCAGTCAGCACACAGTGCAAACAAGTGGGAAAAACAAAAGGTATTTTCTTCCTATCTTCTGCTTTTGTCTTCACAGCCAATTTTTTTTAAAGGGGGGGAAGCTCTGTAATTTTAATTGTTCCAAAACAAAAAGATGAAAAACCCTCAAAGAGAAGGAGCCTCCCCCAAGAAATGATGTTTCACGTGTCCAGATCAAAGGGCTTTAGCTTTTGTGTTTAAGCAAAGCCTAGAAAAAAAGGGGGGAAAAACATGACTTTTAGCACCAAGGAAACAACAAGCCACTTGCCCGACTGCCGTGGCCCAGCCCATTCTGCGTCCTGCCCGTCAACGCCTCAAAGGTGCAGGCTCAGGAGGGCCCGGGGTCCCAAGGCCACATGCCAAGGTAGGTGGGCACAATCTGGTCCAAAGCTGGACTTAACGAAGATCCCCCTTTTCCTTCCTTCCAGGGCACGAGAGCCCCACAGAGGCTCCTGGGAGAGGCTGCGCCAGAGGAACAGCCCTCCCCCCTTCAGTTCAGGTCACCCACCCGCCAGCCGTCCCCCAGATACCTACGCAGCAATTACGGTTTGTCATCTTCTACAGGCTCGCTGTGGTATTCTGCCACATACAGACTCTTGTCAATGTTACTAGGGATGGGCTTAATTTCTGTCCCCAGCTGCTCTTCAATACTCTTCAGGTTGAAACGATCGTCATAGGTGATCAAGTTGATGGCCAGGCCGAGATGGCCAAATCGACCTTCAAAGAGAAAAAGCAAAGGTTTTCCCTCTGGCAGCTTGCCAGAGACCAGTTTTTCCCTGCCCGGCACATGTGGCGGAGTGATGTCTTCCAGTTTCAGACCACAGGCGCCTACTGCTTTTCTTGTTTAACCCAACAGCAGCTGTAAATACCATGGGGAGCATCTTACGTTGTACAAGCAACAACTGTGCTCCTTGATAAGCCGATAGCTGCCATGTGGAGCAGTTCACAGACTCTCCCACCAGAGAGCTCAACTTGCCAAGCTGCTGCCTCCCTGCACAGAGCAGCACAGAAGCTCAGCAGGCTGAAGAACAAGTGATTTACGGGCATGATGTCCTGGGGGGGGGGGGGATCAGCCCCTTGATAGAGGAATGGCGGAACTGACTAACTGCTCTCCAGAGCCCCCCCCTGAGGATCCCAGCTGCTCACACAATAGGCACGGTTCATGTTCCACCAGAAACTAGCAAAGTGATGGCAAGTGACTTAATGACCATTTTTCACACTTATGACCGTTGCAGCATCCCCATAGGCACGTGATCAAAATTCAGATGCTTGGCAATCGACTCATATTTACGACGGTCGCAGTGCCCCAGGGTCATGTGATCCCCTTTTGCAACCTTCTGACAAGCAAAATTGTTGGGGAAGCCAGATTCACTTAACAACTTCAGTGATTCACTTAATTATTTCAAGAAAGGTCGTAAAATAGGGCAAAGCTCATTTAGCAAATGTTTCACTTAGCCACAGATGAATTAGGCCTGAATTATGGTTGTAGGTCAACAACTACCTGTGCTCTATGACTGTAATTTTTCCTTCAATGATGTCCTCACCTGATCTGCCAATGCGATGGAGATATGTCTCTGCCAGCTTTGGAAAATCAAAATTGATCACAACATTCACAGCTTGGATATCAATACCTCGGGTAAAGAGATCTGAAAAACAAACCTTGCACCTTAGAGAAACCCTGTAACACAAAGAAGACGGGCTCAGGATGACAGGATCTTTGGCTATGTAAGTACCACAAGGCTCCTATCCAACTTTTGGATTGTTCTGTAGCTGCAAGCACAAAGAAATGTTAGACTGGATCCTGCAGATTTCTCCCTTCCTTTCTTTTATGGCAAAAGGCAACCTATTTCCCACTTTCTAGTCTCTACTTTTTGAGCTAGACTGTCTCAATTTGGAAAACAAAAGAAATGTAAAATGATTCCTTTAACAATATTGCTGGTTTAAAACATGTATTATAACAAGCCAATATAAAAGATCACATTTAAATGGTTGCAATTATAAAAAAAGGACAAGAGATATTTTACATCCATAGTCCTAATTGCTGAAAATCTCAATTGGCTTTTCTGACTATATGGAAGATATCATATCCAGAGGACTATTTCAGAGCCAAGATTTGTAGCCCAACGTGAGGATGTGCAAACTGGCAGGTAGATTCTGGCTGGAGCAGAGTGTGAAGCCATGGAGGACTTTAATGGACAAACCAGCATTTTGCACTGAGATAGTCCTGCCTTAGGCACAAAAGCCAGCTGAGTAACTTGGGCCCATCTGGTAGATGACCAAGCTGAGCCTGAGGGAGGAGTCAAATGCGTCATCAGTCTGGCGTCCCTTCGCACCACCAAGAAACCTAAATTCAGCCCATCTTGGATTCCACTGACTTAACTACCACAGATTTGCTTGCATCGTTACTAGTTCAGATTCTTCTAGAGAGTCTTATAATACAATTCTACATATTCTTTCTTTTGAACTGGCCGGACTCCCTGATTTATTTTCCTGTGCTTGACAAGCTCCTTTCTCTCAGCCCAAACCACCTCACCTGTGGTTGTGGGGAAAAGAAGAACTGCTGGTTTTCTTTTTTTTAGAAAAAATAATAAAAGCGGGATATAAGTAGATAAATTTCTACTCTTCTGGCTACCAAATGCAGAGCCTCCAGTGCTGGTGTTATACACCAGCTCTTATTGACAAAGGCTGACCTGTACCAATTGCAGCTTCCAGATAATCTTTAAAAGCAACCCCCATGTAAAAGCACATTGCATTCATCTATTTAAGAAATGACAATACTTGGGATATCCAGTTGCTAAAAGTATCGTAACAAATTCCTAGTTAGTAAAGAGCCTTTCTGGGCAATACACAAGCCATGGAAAAGGACAAGATACTCACCAGTGCAAACAAGGTTGCGGCATAAGCCATTCCGGAAATCATGGAACACTCGATTGCGGTGCTCCTAGAAAAAGAATTTCGAAAGCTTCACCAACTTACTCTTGACCAAAGCCCAGAAGTTTGTCCTTCAGCACCTAAAGGGAAATCCAGGTGCTTCTACTGAAACACCTCTAATGGAAGAGAATGTTCACCTTGAGAAGGAATGCCTGGCCTGTGGCAGAATTCACAAGACCAATTGCTCTTCTGACACTTGCCCTGGGACCTCCGTTTGGGCTGAATATATGAAATACGTGGAAATAGATTGACTACTCCTCTCCCTCCTACAACTAGCGCTTAAAATCCAACAGATATTCATTAGTTGCTCCAAACAGCACACTGACCTGTCTCATCTTTGCGTGAATGTAGAAGCAGGAGTAGCCCAGCTGGGAGATTTTCTTAGCTAACAATTCAACCCGTTGGGAGGAGTTACAGAAGATGATGGACTGGTTTATTTGGAGCTAAATGCAAAGACAGTAAAGTGTTACGTTGTATTCTGCTTCTGAATTGCACAGGAACTTGAAAATAAGCAGATAATACTAGACTAGAAAGCTTGGAGACAGGTACACAAAAACAAGGCAATACCTAAAGAACTGAAGAAGCAAAAATAAAAGCTGTACAGGTCATCAAATAAAACTCTTTATTATTCAAGCAATATTCTACAGGATTTCTTTCACTTGATCACTTTAGTCATGGTTTAAACCCAGTTTAGCTCAAATCTTACTTCTTACCCTGGAAAAGAGTGTGTTGAGGCAATGCACTTTCTGACGCTCTGTTACGTAAGCGTAGTACTGGGTCACCCCCTTCAGAGTCAGCTCCTCCATCAAGTTAATCTCGTAGGGTTTTTGCAAGTGGGAATTCTGAAAGAGAAGCATTCTGGCATGGATAGGCAGTCCTGGTCTTCCGGACACAACAGAGCCCAGCATTTCTGTTGCTGATTAAGTAAGCTCTGCCCCATTTTACGACCTTTCTTGCCACAGTTGTTACGTGAATCACTGCAGTTGTTAAGCTAGTAACACGTTTCTTAAGTGAATCTGGCTTTCTCCCATTGACTTTGCTTGTCAGAAGCTCACAAAAAGGGGATCACATGACCCTGGGACACTGTGACCGTCATAAATATGAATCAGTTGCCAAACATATGGATTTTGATCATGTGACCAAAGGTGTGAAAAATGGCCATTAGTCACTTTTTTCAGTGCCGCTGTAACTTTGAACGGCCATTAAACAGTTTTAAATTGTGGACGGCCTCTGGTTTGTAGTGTAGCAAGAATAACTGTGCTTCCCCTTTGCTCAATTATGCAAATTTGGGCTCATTCAACTCACCATAAACTTCTGCACACTTAGAGGGAAAGTGGCCGAGTACAACAAAATCTGCCTGTTTTTAGGTAGAGTGAGTATAATGTCCTCCATTATTTGCACAAAGTCTTGAGACAGTAACTTGTCTGCCTGCAAAATAAATTAATGCACGATAAAAAAGGGGGCAGTTGGGGAGCTTGTTTCATGTCTAACCAACCCTCCCGGCAGGTGCTGGCCAGAGGTTAAAATGATGCTTCTTAGCCAGCCACAGGAGCCCTGATTTCAAGCTGCCCTTGACCAGAATCCACAAAATGCACCCAGGACAGCTAATCTGGTGGCGGAGGGCTCAGCTTGTAACTCATGAAGGTCAGTCAGTTAAATGTTACCTCGTCTAGGACAATCATCTGGATATGGTCCACCTTTGCTACTCCTTTTTTGATGAGATCCAGAATCCTTCCTGGGGTTGCTATCACTACATGCACTGCGAGAAAGAAGAGCAGGTTCTAAGGCACTCTGATAAAAACGGGCAGAAAAGAGCACGTGTGTGTGTGTGTGTAATTTGGGGTTTCCCCATTCTTGCCATAGGACGTCCTACCTGTATCGTCAAGCCTCATTATATCATCTCGCAGATTGGTTCCTCCTGTGGTTGCCATCACCTTCGCCCCTCCCATGTGTTTGCTGACCTGGATGCAGATCTGACTGACTTGCAGGGCAAGTTCTCTTGTGGGAACAATCACCATTGCTGTCAAGCAAGATAGAATTTGAAGCACTCTTATTCCATGATCCCAGAAGATTTTTATGCTCACGTACGTCCAGCGAGGGCTATACGAAGAGGTTCAGAAATCCAAGCGTCCTTTCTAGTTTAGAGACTTTTAATGGAGACCAAATAGGCAAGTGGCCTGAATCTGTCTAGTCCCGTTTGTCTAAAGCTAATGGGAGATGAACCCTTCTATCAGCTTTTCAAAGGTTCATAGTAATGCGGAAGCATCACCTTCCAAGTCACATTTCTCCCCAACTCACTATACAATGCAGCATGTGGAGTGTTTCTCTAACGCTTTGAAAGGGAGAAAATTGCAGTGAAGCTCCCCCACCCAGTGCTTTGGAAGAGCAACGCTGATACCCCAAGTCTCTCCAGGAGTTTAGTAGTGACTGCCTTTTCATGCTTTGAACATCAGGAGTATTAAAAAATGAATCAGTAGGACCTAGGAATACAGAATATTTACTTGAAAAATTCAAGCCCTTCTGGCATGATCTATCCCTATGATCTATGATTGTAAGCCGCCCTGAGTCCCCTCAGGGAAAAGGGCGGCCTATAAATCCTAATAAAATGTCTATTAAAAAAAAAAATGTCTATCCCTGCCTGCTGCACCTCCGTCCGACCGCACCTTCAGTGACTTTGCAAAAAGTCCTAAAATTATTGATCATCCATATTTAATTCTTGCATCTACTCTTAGTAGGAACTCAAGCATGACTACTCCCATTTCCATACACCTCCACTCCCCCAAAGAACAAAGTACTCAATGGGTAAGCCAAAGAAAACCAAAGCATTCTCCCCAAACCTCAAAAACGGAAGGTTGGCTTTGTGCAAAAACTCTCTCTTCAGAAATTTTGCAGAATATTTTCTTCAATATTGATATGGCAAGAAATGTTAATGATTCTACAGCAATTATCAACAAAAACATGGTTATCAACTGCTTTTAACCAGAAAATTCTGATCCCATTGACAAAACAATCAGCAATTTGCTTTTTAAAATAATCAGAATGTAAAGGCATCTAGACCCAAATGGCAGGGACCCAACAGAGGCAGAAGAGATTAAGAAGAGGTGGCAAAATTACATTCTATACAAGAATGAGCTTAATGTCCCTGATAACCAGGATGGAGTGGTCACTGAACTCGAGCCAGATATTCTTGGTGGGGAAGTTAAATGGGCCTTGGGAAATCTGAGCAACCACAAAGCTGGTGGAGGTGACAGTATTCCAGCTCAGCTATTCAAAATCTTAAAAGATGATGTAGTAAAAGAAATCTAGGATCATGGCATCCGGCCCTCTCAATTCCTGGCAAATAGATGGGGAAGAAGTGGAGGTAGTGACAGATTTTATTTTCCTGGCCTCCAAGAACACAGCAGATGGGGACTGCAGGCAAGAAATCAAAAGACGCTTGCTCCTGGAGAGGAAAGCTATGGCAAATCTAGACAGCATACTAAAAAGCAGAGACATCACCTGCCAAC